TATCGGTTTAACAAGGAATTCCTTTGATCATCGTGGATGAAGAGCTACGGCAATTTATGTCTTGCAGTCGCTTAACGCATGATTTCTTCAGTTTATTGATTTCAAAATTCAGGCAGAATCGATCTCACGGTAACGTCTAGCATTTACTGCAGCAAAAGAAGGCCAAAAGGGAAAAAAACGTCAAAGAAAAGCATGCCCCCAGTTATAAATGTGCCTAATCCAGCAATCTTTTAGGGGCCCTTTTACTCTCAGGGGCCCTCTGTCAACCTGTGTCCCCACCCTGGCAATGCTTTAGCTGCGCGCCTGGGACTGCCACATGCATGCTTATCATTAAATGACTGTTTCGCTACATGAGGTGCGGTCAAATTCCGTTAGATGGATGCACGATATTATGGAAGCCATGTTGATTTCATGTGGGCTAGCTCCTGATCAGCATAACAAAGTGCTAAGTGGCCAGCCTACAAAATAAGTACTGTTGGAATGTATAATGTGGCACAATATTACACAATATTACACAAATATGGCACAATATTAAAATATGGTTTCAGAGGTGAGTGCTACCGAACTTCTGAATGTGATCGGTGGCAGAAATGAAAGATTCTATGAGATATGTGGTGACAAATTTCCGAAAATGGTAACAAATTACAGTGGTCATCCCGGTTAGACCACACTCAAAGCTTACATAGTGTTGGTTTTTTACTTGCCAAAGTTTGCAGCGTAGGCTTATGTAGAGCACACATGGAAGCATCGACGTTTCACTGTATGGGCAGGTTGAGCAACAAACTGATGCCAAACAGTAGCGTTAATCAGGAAAGTTTTCAAGAAATCAGGTTAGAGCCTTTGGAGTTTGCAAGAAATATATTACAAGCAATGCCATGCCAGGGCTGACGTCAAAGATCAGTGGCGACACAGTGCTCTTCCAACTATCCTCAGATCAAGGCTTTTCACATATGTTTCCAGCCGAAATTCACTTCACATACTAAGCAGTATAAAATGCAAAAATAACTAGGCTTATCGCTATTAGTAAGAATCGTCCCTGGCGCCAACTCCTTGCAGCGAACGCGATCAGTCTGCCGCGCAACATGCATCACGTTAATCACGTTAATTTAAGCTGAAAATTCAAGCTAATAGCATCATGTTAATTTTGTACCCGATAGTATCCTGTAGGTGCTTCATGTTTTGTCATTGATCAGCATCACGTAGCGCGTCGGCTTGTTAGGCCAGTTTGCCATGTTTTTGCCACGCCACTCCAGTATACACTTGGCCAGTCTGCTAATGCTGGAAGGTTTTCACCACATAACGCAGGTGGATCGGGCAGCAATGTACGCCAGCTTTTTAAAATGCTGGGTGGCCCAGATAAAAGTTAACGAGTGTTTTCCTGATCAGTGGAAAGCTCGCGCAGTCGTGAATGTGGTAGCATTCGACTACTGCCGAGATGCGGGTTATATTGTCCGGCATCGACAGATAGAAATGGATGCCAGCCACGGCGAGCACGAAGCCCGAGCACACTCTCGGCCGAACCTGCCATAGGGGTCGGGTGGTCCGCATGGCAGAGGCGATGCCAGACGTTACACTGACGCTGCAAGGCGTCAACAACAACCGCAACTTCAACAGCAACACACGTACGGCAGCAGTGGTGGTCATCAGAGATTCCACATCCTTTGAATAATGACCACAAAAAGTGCCTCACGCGGCCCCCCCCCCCCCCCCGGTCCAAGGTGCACACCATCTGAACCCGCTGCAGGCGGTCGATTGTCCGGTCACTCTTGTCGACGTTGATGCCCCCCCCCCCCATTTCAAGCCTAAAGGCGGCCTGGAGGTCTTAACGGTCAGCTGGGTTGTCCATGTGGACGCGGCTCTTGTGGTCGGGGGCGACAGCTCAGGGACGACAGGTCGGACGTGTGGGAAGCCACTTTCCGGCAGACTTAAGCTGCTGCACATGCCAGGGAAAAGGTCATCAAGTAATCCAGAAAACACGATCGAGTGACACGGCACACCATGCATGTGCGGTACCGCGCCATCCTGCTGGGGCCACTCCCCGTCCCGCCCGGCCCCGTCAAATAACCCCAGGGCAGGTCAGAAGGATATCAGAGCCGTAGCGATGTAACATTCTGAGGTGGTATTGACAGGATCCTGTTTCGTTCTCAAAGAAGCACCTGCTGTAAAAGTCACGATTTGGCGAATGTGATATCACTGATGACTACCGTCGTTTTTTTATCCTGTTTCGCCATTGCATGGCCATTAGAATGCCACTGCATTCCTGATTGTGAGAATATGCACAAAAATGCGTCGTTGAGTAAAACATGGGCTAACTTTTATCTAGAGAGAGATCAGCAGCACACTGAATAAGCGGTAATTTCACACAGCCCGTTGTTTCGCCGTTTTACCCTTTCTTTACGAACCTGTTTGTGTATTGTTAAACTGAGCACTCACAACACAATCAGGAGACCTCTTTCAGTGTTCCTGGTACATGTTTTTACAGGAAGGAGGGGCTTCTTAGGACCACTACGTGCGCATGACCAGGGATCGAACGATACATATACCGTCTTTCGCATTTGTGATATAGGACTACTTTCTAAGTAGTCATTGTCTGTACCATCGTGATGCGCTATTGGAGGGTCGGCCAAAACCTTTATTTAAAATTTGGATCGATCCTTTTGACTGCAAGAATGTTGAAGATGAGCGGCAGTGCTGAGTGTGGGCACTGACTCCACCATCCAGCCGTCAAATTTCGGGTCAGCTGCAAAACTTTGTGACGGATAGTTAATTATAGATATTTGAAGTTTGGTATTGGATAACTATGAAATTTGATTTCAGACACTGCAGTTAGAGGCACGGGCCATAGCTGTATATGAAACGACATAACAATTCTGAACGCGATGAACATTCCGAAGGTAACGCACTGTGTAACATCAAAAAGAGTGTACAGCTAATAGCAAAACTGTGGAGAGTAATTTGTATGGATGAATTTGAGCCCGTAAGAGCTCATTCTTCAACACCGGTATTACCCCAGTGTAACGTGAGGTGGTGCACGGGGTTTGTTACGTGCCATTTCTGGCTGTGATGCGGCCGATGACCAAACAAGTTCTCATCTTTCCCCGTTCATGCAAAGTATGAGGTTTGAACCGAACCGATATGCTCACCAGCCTCAGGCCCTTTACCCCAGCGGGTCACCCACTATAACACATGCCATAACCGCCGGAAATTATATTTAAGTACAAATAAATCTTCCAAAACGAGATAATTGATGATGTTCATGACTCATTGCATTTCATCCATCTTTGTTTTGTGTGGTTTATCTCGTTTGTAGTGATATTGCGACGGTTTCTTATAGATATGGGTCCAGGTGACAATTCAGGCTTTCCAAATTTTGTCGGTGAATATGAACGGCTTCATTATCTGCTGCGCACAGCGATGCACCTGAATCCTGAAACCACTTCAACATGAAAGTCCCATTTATTTCTGGAATGCTGGACGTTGCCGTCGCCGTCAAGATCCGGTTTGACCATTCGAGATTCGCGCCTCGGATGATCATTGATCGGCATGAAACCCTATGGTGCTGAATTCATGCTTTAGTATTAACTTCTGTCAAGAGATGGCGCTATATACAATATTTACCTTCTGCATGACCTTGATATCATTGGGGGCGGCGGCCATAGCATGATCAGTTGAGACGGCAAAATAGAGCTGCAGGTTTGGAAAGCTGTTGGAGTTCCGGTGGAACACCGATG